TTCCCCCCCCCCCCCGCTTCTCCCCGTGTTCGTGAGGATCAAAGGTCTGTGCGGAGGCAAGAGGCGGCTCGCTGGGAGCTGAGGCCCCTCAGGGGAGGTCCTGGGATGGTGACACTCAAGTGAGCTCGAGCAAGGGCAGTGGCAGCTGAGTTTGGTGCAGTATCTGTCAAATCGCACTGCCCTCCCCAAACAAGTGTCCCTTCTTCACAGCTGTCTCCTAGGCCTTGACACGGCTAGTATTTTCCAGCAACTCTAGACTTGACTTGCCAAAATCTCCTCATCAGCCTATCTGACAGTAATGGCCACTTCATTTTATACTTGTATGTATGATTTTGTGATTTCTTCTGTGACAGTGTCTGTATATTGCAGTTGATACATTACAGCTGATGAAGTCCCTCACCTGATATTGTAACCCTTGTTTAAGAGGTATGTCTGCAATGGCTTTATTAATACTCTCACAGCTGGATGAACTGAATCCTGCAGTTGCATCCTCCTGTAGCGCTCTCAGAGAATTCTTAATAGCTTCCTCTTATTGTTGCTGTACAATTGTCACTGGTGTGGTAAGTACCAGGATTCCTGTCTACCCCTTACAGATTGCTGTTCTCCTTCCAGATTACTGGTATGTCCTTCTGGAATAGCTGATTAATAAGCCACAAGCACTTAACTGGCACAGGGTGTTCATTTTGCATGCCTTGTTTATCAGTGATTATCTTGCGAAGTGATAATATTGCTTATGCTGACACATTCCTTACTTCCTCACTGACATGGTGTTCATAGTTGAGTTGAATGCTTAATATCTTTTTTTCAGACCTTCTTTTATAATGCTTGTTTCCTTTGCCTGTGGGGAGGGGATTTCTGATACTGGCAGCTGGTCTTCAGCTATTCCATTGTTCTCTTTTTCTTGGTTCCTCTCCTTTAGCTTCTTTCCTATGTGCTTGTTTAGCTCTCGTATCACAAGAGGAACTTGAATAAGTTCTCTTATCTCTTCTTCAATCAGTGGACATGTAGCCTCTTCTATTATTCAATCCATCATTTATTTCAGTCTCAAAGTCAAGGGTAAAAACAGGAAGGGTATTAAAGAACTGCAGACTAATTTATGGATTTCTCTATTCTCTTGCCTTGTATTTAAATACTTATATTTCAACTTTATTGCATTGGCGTTTCTTCACTGTTATTCAGTGAATGAGCTTGGCGGATGATGAGGCTATCCTAGGACTGTGCTGGAGATGGTCTTTTCTAGGGGTGAAATAGCTTCTCCCTCTAGTCTCTAGAGACGTAGAGGTTGGTGGTATTACCTTCCATATAGCAAAACTGTTTCTTAAGAAGTTAGACTAAACTAATTTGTTCTACTCTTCTTGTAGGAGCTATATTTTTCTATTCAGTAAATAATAACGGCTTAGATATTTAATGTTTCATAAAGCTGCTTTATCAGCTTTCTCATGGTGGGGGGGGGAACCCAGAGATTAATTCACTAAAACGGTTGCTGTGCTGGAATGCGTCTTAGGGAAGAGAAGATGACAAAATAACGTGATTTGTCCTTGACAGGAGTATTGAAAGGTTATCCGAATCTCCCAAGTTCCAATTCTCCTTCTGGTTGTAACTTGATATACTGTAGAAAATGATGGCTTTAAAGCAGTGATTCAGGCCTCCTATAGTTTAACCTCATTTGATAACGGAAGTGTTCTGGGCACTGCTGGATTTGTATTGTCCCATCACTCCCCTTTTTTGCTCTGTATGTCCTGCCTCTCCATCCCTGCTTCACTCAGATAGCTCTGGCAATGCCAGAACACAGATTAAGTTAAGCCCAGGAGGATTTGGCAAAGTGTCTGTAGGGGTATATGTTTTGTGGTCTTTGGTGCTCGTAACTCCAGCTGAATGGTGCAGACACCACCTATAGTTGGCTCTGCTGAAACTCAGCAGAGCTTACTTGCTTGGGCTTTGGCAAGCGCATCGAATGCCATGGAAGCCAGTGTCATGTAGTGACTGGTTGGCTGTGGAAAAGATGAACCAAATGGATAAAATTAGCAAGTACAAACCAGATTCTTAGCTGGCGTTGTTGAAAGTTCTGGTACCTGTGCCTTCCTACGACTGGAGCAATTTAACGTTTAATGATATACTTTGCCTTCTTGGTCCACTTGTTGGCAGCAGCTCTAGACTGCTATTGCCATGGGAATATTAGAAACAACTCAGTGAGCAATAACCTACCCTACCATGTAAAAAGCAACTTGGCTTTCTTAATTGTTACGTTAGAAATGACTAACTTTCTAGCAGAAGCCTAAATCTTCACAGTTCTGCTAGTGTGTTGGAGTCTTCATTTGTAGTCTTGAGATTGTTTTGTAGATTATTTTGTGTTAGTGTAGCTCTAGCTAGCTATTTGTAATGTGCATTATATAGCAATGGTTTCTATATATGAAAAATGAACTTCTAGACAATACTTGTCCTTCAAGGGGTATTTAGGTTGAAGGCTAAGCTTATATGCAGCTTTAAAAATATTAGATCAAAAACAGTTGACTGAATTGAGTACCAAGCAGTTGTTTTTGTTTCCATGTACAAGGACAGTCTGTCCTTCCTACAGAAAAGACAAAAGTCCCACTTACCCAACATATGTGGGTGGCAATGATGCTAACCCCATCAGGCAGCTATCCTAGCCTCTTTCAGATCTAGGAAGGCTTTTGTGCTGCGAGGCTTGTCTTTTCTCCAGCTATATCAGTCAACTTGGTGTTTAAAAAAAAAAAAGATCATCTCTGGCCAGCCTTGCCTTGCCAGCATCAGACAGCACTAATTAAAAATGCTTTGCAAAGCAGTTTTTGCACAGCCCTGATACTTGAAATGTCTGTTATGCTTGTGCTCTGTTAGAGATAGCAATGGAAGGAGATATCACAGCTCTCAAATATAACAAAGATTGTTTTCATCAGTATCTCTAGGTTCACCAGGGATAACAGTTACCTGGAGCTGGGAGGCTTACTTTGCTGTTGAGAAATACTTGAGTTTCTCGTTATCATAGGTTCAGCCTGACTACAATAAATGGCAATTGTAGCTTCCTCTATCAGTATGGACTGAGCTCCTGTAAACACCAAAGCCTTCTGAAACGTCTCATGTACTAGCTGCTCAAATATTTACTGTTGAACTGAGCTTCAGACCTATCCAAGGTGTTCAGTACTCAGCAGTATAATATGGGCTTTCTACAGAAAAGGATTAGCTAGGAAAGGACTGGCTGCCAGTGAGATGTTCAGTTTTTAACAGTTGATCCTCTCCTGGGCTTTTACATCTGCTTCACATGAAGATCCAGGGTCCAGAAAGACTAGATTGAGGGTGTTCAGGTCTGGCTCGTCTTTGACTGGAACACACTGTTCTGTGAAGTGCTGGTTGGGCATATGAAAAGTTTGTACTAAATGAAGCAAGCAGATCAACAGTGTCTGTTAAAGTGAACATGCTTGTAAGAGGTAGGGGAAACAACTTCCTAAAATATATGGCTGTAATATCCCTAAACTACCACTCAGATTCTTTCCCCTCAGTTCGAGTTAAATTCTCCTCCCTCCTTAAACTTACACTTGCTGATTGCTACAGTGCTTCAAAAATCGGAGCTCACTTTAATGAGTGTTCTGAATAGACTTGAGTACTCTTTAATAGGTGTAGGTATGTTGGTCATGCCCTTTGTTGGTTTATTGTACTTCGGTTTATTTTTGTCCTGAAATGCTCTTGCTTAATTCTTGAATGTAAAGATGTGAACTAACTTCCCTAGCATGTGTCATGGACAGAATGAGTGAATGATGCTGCAAATCTCTGTACAGCTGTGACACAGTTCTCTGGCCAGAAGTGACGTAAGCAGGGGGTTTGAAGTCTTCGGAAGTTGAGATGCCACTTCACTCTGATAATGTATAGGTGTCTTCTGACTAGTTGATTCAAGGTTGGACCAGTGTGAGCACTGCTTGTGTCTTGGCTTGTGCTTTGTTGATAGACGGTCTTTCTCTGCTGTGCAGGTAGCCTAGCATGGAGTGTGCTCACCCCCTTACTCAGCAGTGAGCCATGTAGCTGATCAAAGAACAGTTGTACTGTGCTTGGACTGTGGGCTGCTGGTGGTACTCTGAAAAGTACATCTGAGCTCTGACAGTGTGGGCAGAGGAGTGATTGGAGTCTAAGGACAGTGAGATTTGGATAGTATGATGCGGCATTTCAAAACACTTTGAAGGAACAGAGCAGATGCTTGTTTTTAGTCTATAATACAATTCATGTTAGCTCACTTAGCTATTTGTGACTTAATGCTAGCAGCATCTTGCCTGCAACTTTAGCCCAGTACCATTCAACAAGCAGTGCTGAGCATGCCCTGTCTGTTGCGCTGGAACTTGTTTCTTCATCTTCTTCCCTTGAGCTTGGTGCTACCTGCTGACAGAAGGCTATATGATAGGTAAGTCACACCTGCTTATGCTATAAGACTGTGGAAAGATCTTAGATGTCTTGCAGTATTTCCTTCCTCGCCCCAGCTCCCCCCCCCCCCCCTAAAGTAAGCTTGATCTCCTACAAAAAGCAGAAGTCCTACCCTGTAGGAGGTAGGAAGTAGTTAGGGTGTTGTAAAATGATATGGCCCTGCAGTAACAGATGAATTGTTTGCTTAAATAACATGAGCCTTTCTTTTGAGATAAGATGCACTTAACTGATTTCTGTGGAATAATCAGAGCCTTAATGGTCTTGTTCTAGTTTAATCTTGTACATCAGGTGTGCCTAATAAGTTAATGCAGTGTTTTTAATCCATCTGTGACAAGAAGAAGCCAACCATGTTGCTGTGTGAATTCTAATATATATATTGCCTTTCTTGTAAGATAAGATGCAAAAACTACCTGTTATGTATTAGGATGTATTCTGTGAAGAAACAAAAGCATTTTCTAGTGGTTGGAAGGAAGTGAAAATTTCAGGGCTCGTTTTACTGTAAGTTAGCCTTCCTGGGGAAGTGAAAGAACTGAAGTGTTTTTGGCCCTGTTGGCTATAGAGTTATCTTCAGGTGCTTTTTCAAGCAGACTGCCGTGGAATGTGCACCCATACCTCTTTGGTGCTTGGCACCTACTCTGGAGGTGTCAGACTTCTCAGTCGCTGAAAAAGAAAAGCCTTAGTTGAAGGCACCTGTCTCTTGCTGTGTTGATGGTGCCTTGTGTTATGAACTTTGTCCCTGTAGCCTCAGAGTACCCTTAAATTAATGCATGAGCCAAGTATTGTATCTAGTGAAAAGGTCAAATTTCAGTGAAAGCACTAGCCAAGAAATTCTTGTTGGAATGCAGTATAAACAGTATCTGCTGCTTACCAACCAAGCAAAATCCGGCCTGGCTGCTGACTTGGGCACAAGGCAGAGGGAGGCTTAAACCAATGAGTTCTGTGTGCTGTCCAAATAGTGTTTTTTGATCATCCTTGTGATGGGACATGTCACTGTGTCCTGTTTACTTCGAGATAAAATCATCTGATATTGGATGATGAAACTCTAATGGGTTTGGCCAGGCTTGATGACTCTGAATCTTTAACTTCTCCTGAAAACCTAAGCCTAAATACTTGAAGTGCTCATCTAATTCTTATTTACTTCCTCTGCTCTTTAAAAAGAGGTCTGAGCCTTAACTGGTTGGTTTAAATGGTCAGAAGTACTGAGCAGTATGAGATGATCTCAGCATTTGCTTCTGACCTGCTCTCTCCTGAGCTACCACTGAAGATAATAGAAGACTCTGTGTGTGTTAAGCTTGGATTGGTTAGATACCATCTTGAAATAAGCAGTGTGATGATGCCTTGCTTTGTGTGCCCAAAACTATGGAGTTAGTAGCGGCATAGTCCTAAAATGCTTGTATCTAACTACCAAGCTCTCCAAAGAGCTACATAAAGTAGCAATTTAGGCTTAACACTTTTCAGTAAAAGTTAAAAGCATCTTTTTGTATAAAGTACTATCAGAAGATAAGATACTAGACAGTACAATAAAGCTGCAGTTTTTCATTACTACTTAGATTCCTTTGCCATGTGTCTTGTGTGTGTGACCTCAGACTGTCCTTGGTGCGTCACAAAAGCTTAGTCTGGCAGTCTTTCCTCTCAAGGCAAGTTGTTTCTGAATCTTTCTCTGTTGGATACATTCTCTACGTATTTCCATTTGGATGGTCTCTAAGCCTTCTGTGGTGCTCATGTATGCTTCCTAGAGTGAGAAGGAAATAATGTACTGGCATAAAGCTTTACTCTGTTCAAAAAGCTGGTACTAAATGAACCTGTCCTTGTAGTGCCCTGACTTCCTGCCTTTTCCTTAGTAAAGTTCCTTTCTGGCTCACGCCTGTAATACTGCTCTAAATATCCCACCTGGTATCAGAAGTTACAAGCCTGTTGCTTTTATGATGTATCCTTCAGAAGAGGTATCAATTATGACTGATATTAAAGATAATTTCCTGGAAAAATTCCCTGAAGAACTTACCTCAGGTGGGGTGGGGGGAGAAGGTTGTTTAAGTACTTCTGTTTTGACTCTGTCGAGTCACAACTTCTTAGAGTAGGGTTTTTGCTTCCCTCTTGTTTACCAGGTTTGCTTTGGGAGTTTTCTTCCCCGTGCAGGTAAGAAAAATTGCATCATTCCCCAAAATGTCTAAGTTAACTAAGTCTGTCTGCACAGTCTGTCTAGAAACAGCCTTGTGCTCTTGAATCTTACTGGGGGAGGAGTTTTGTGATTCTTGTTAGAAGGTGTAACTTGGATAGGAAAGGAGACTTCTACATGCTTCAGGTCTTTGATCTCTAGCTGAACTCTGAAAGCACTGGTAAGCTAGAATGCTAACTCTGGTTAGAGGGTATCTAGGAGGCTTTTGCATCAAATTGTCCTTCTTGGAAACTGGATTTCTTCAAGCTTTTTAAGTGACTGTAAATGAACATAAAGTAGCTTATTAGTAGAGCCCCCCTTAATGAGGTTGCCTTTGCTCTTGTCTGTGGACACCTCTATATCATAGAGCTGCAACTTCATTTTAGCCCAAAGCATTTCTAATGTTAAAATGAGTCTGACAGCCTTTCAGTTACTGTTTTTTTTAAAAAAAAAAAAAAAAAGCCAGAGGGACTGACTATGGGACTTGAGTGAAGGGGGAGGGAGTAGCTTCCTTTAATGTCTTTGCTGTTGGCCTTACATTATGCAAGGCCACATGCAGCTTCAGCATGAATGGAGGAGCTGTAACGTAAATCCTGTGCATGCCCCACGAAGCAATGGGAGTAGAGTGACTTCTGTCCCTAGAAGAGCCTTTTCTCCTCAGGAAATCTACAAATGTGTGAAAGTCTCAGATTTGTTCATAGTGACTCCACTTAATAGACAAATGCATATCTTGGTGAAGGCTTTCCCAAGACCTCATGTCTTTGAAGGAATACTTGAGGAATTCCCTGTAGCTCGACTGGCTTTTGTGGTACCTCTTTCTGTTCTGATCTGAAAAGGGAAGATGTTGGGTTTTTTCTCGCTATACTTGTACAGGTGCTCTGTTAATAATAGTGCTAATGTGATTCTTTCCTGTAGCATGGCTTTCAACTTTTTATTCTGTGATGAAAGGAAGAATGAAAAGATTTCCCAAATCTAGCACTTGCTTTGCAACTGGAGTTTGAAGTTAGCCTTCAGTCATAAACAGGACTTAAATGTATTGACTGAAACATCTGTTGCAGACTTTATCTAGCTTGCTAAAAGTGAATCCAGTGTTGTGAACAAACAAAATTGCTCTTCTTTGTATATATTAATACTGACCCTCTTAGAGAGGAGATTCTAGATTAAAATTTGACTAGCTCAACACTGTAGTTATCTGTCCTCTTTCTGTAAACCCTGAGGTTTATTAGGTCAGTGCAAAAAGGATTTAACAAAATGGAGAAGGAAGGTGACCTCATCCTTGCCTGAAAAAGGGGAGGCATTTGTCCTAAGCGATTAGAGGCAGAGCTCTCAAATCCATTTTAGTGTGCTAAATCTCTAAAATTTTAGAGCTGAATACTCTGGCTCAGCTCCCACAAATCTGCTCTGGCTGAGAGAAGTCTGCCTAGGTACACAGAAATACCAGGCAACCGCTCCAGGAAGTACCTGAAGTGTCCCAGCTGGAACTGTGGGACACTGTACTTACAAATTTCGTCTTCATAGACTAGATTCATTGGTTAGCTGATTGCTGCAAATACTTGACAAGCAGATACATGTGTAACTGCAGCAGTGTCGCCTTCATCCTGATCTGAAGCATTAGGTAAAGATGTTGACAAATGCACGAATCTTTCGCACGTGTGAGGTGTGCCTGGATCTGTTTAAAATGACTTCTGAAACACATTCACTTAATTCTAACTAGAAGAAAGACTAGCTTGTAAGTGTCAAAAGGATAATCCTGCTCACTAGCAAGTTGTTCCTTTTTTCCCCTAAGGAACTCCAAGCTAGTATGGTTTGGTTCTATTTACAGAAACGTTAGGCAGAAACCTGGGTGTGCAAGTGTCACAAGAGGTGTGGTGTTTGTAATCTGAAGACTAGGGGGGAGAAGACTCGGAGGTAAAGCTTAGTTTGGGTCAGTTATATTGAGTCATTAGTAGAAAATGTTAATGACTGCTCATGCCCAGTTTTATTTTTAACACATTCATCAATGATGTGAAAGCTGTAGAACAGCAAAGTAACTTAACATCCAGCTGACAAAGGTCTTAGAGATGCTGATGCAAATGTTACCTGCTAAGTTACTAAATTAAACAGTGATGGGAAGATGACAACAATTAGCTGGGGAAGAATAGCTCAGCACCTGGTTGTCCTTCAGTCACCAACTGTTCGGGAACTTAGTGCGCTCTTCTCTTGGTTGTGCTTTCCCTGAAAACAAGCTTTATAGTTTGTTTCTTGGTTTCTACTCAGTTGGCTGTAGCACTGGTAAACCTGTTTAAAGTGTGAAAATGAGATAACATTATAGCGGAGCCTTACATTAGAGTTCTCATTTTAATATATGAAGCTGATCTAATCTCTTTATAAAAGTGAAATATGTGCCTTTATAGTCTCACTCCTCTCTCCTGTGAAGCTCAGAATTGGAAAATAAAAGCTTCGGAGTTCTCTAGTGTTAAGTGTCTGCTTTCCTCACCTCTGTTCTCCTACAATGCAAGCAGCTATGGTGACATAAACTGTAGCCTTCCAGTATGCTGTTAATCAATAGCTGATGTCAGACTTGTTTTCTACCAAGGGACTTTGGCATAACTGCATTGAGTATAGACAGTACTTCTGAGGCTTCCTCCTTGTAGGCAGAAGAGTAAGGCTTTCGTATGGCTCTTTTTGGCTTATTTTGAGTCAGGTGGCAGCCTCAGGAGCAGATAGAGCTCTGAAGCTTTTTTCTTGGAAGCTCTAATTCCAAATCAATTTATTGTGCTTGTAGGGAATCAAAGTGCTAATTGTAAATATCATTTACATTTTAGTTACAGGCCTAAAGCTATATTCCTTTCATTGGCATTATCAAATTTTTGTAATGAGCCTTGATGTATGCGCACGAGTGCTAGTTAAGTGGCTGCATGTGAGCCTCCTGGTAGCTCTCACGATCTTGAAGTGCAATATGTTATAACTTCTCAATGCAAGTGTAGAAACCAAGTAAAGGCTGTTTACAAGCTTCTAGCTGTAAAAGTGATGCTGCTTTATTAATCCTATGTAAAAGTAGAAAGTATCTTTCAATCTGATTTAGCACTGCAGTAACAGCATAGATATTACAGTTGAGAAGAGCAGTAGCCTGTCGCTTCAAGTCTCTTAAATGTCAAGAGATTTGGGGTACCTTTTGTAACTAGGACAGTTCTACTGTGCTGCTAAGATGGTGACCATGTGCCTTTCTATGAAGTCCATAGCCCTGCTCTGGCGGTCCATGGCCACCTTTGAAGTGGCACCAGTTCTTGTTTACTGCTTCCTATATCTTATGAAGATATTTGCCTGCTGCAGTTGAGAAAATTAGTATGCTAAAGGCAACTGATCTAATTTGGAATCTCTCCTTTGGCAAGAGGCTTGTAGTACCAGTGTATCAAAAAGTACAAGTGGCTATGACTGAACATATAAATCAATTACAATGTCTGTGAAAGGACCTCTGCATAAATTTGTTCTTATCTTCCAGCAGAGATGCAGCCTTATCAATATTAATTGATTTGCTCTCTCTCTCTCTTCCCTGCCTCCCCAGGGTAACTTGACTAGCAGGAGGAACCAGGAAGTAAAAGCTGCATCTCCTGAGGCCTGCCGGTTACTTCTAGCTTGAAGAAAGTGACACTGGTAAGCCTTTGCTTGTCAATTACTACCTTATTTGGGTTACCCAGGTGGCTGAAGAAGGACCAAGACCAAGGGGGAAAAACCTGCCCCTTCAGTACAGATTTAAGTATCGCTGTAATAATTGCAGCCAGTTATTTGAACTGTCTGTTCAAAAGAAGCTGGATCAGTTCATGAAACTTCTTTCAAAGTGGAGGGAAACTTTAGTTCTGTGCAACTTTTTTTTCCTTCCTTTACTCTGAGGTCCTTGAAGGGCTGGATTTTGATCCTAGTTATTTAGCTGCAGACTACAGTGAATTAAAATATATAAGTGACTGCTTTAAATAACTGCAGGAGTTAACGCCCATATTCTCATTGACTTGCAGAAATTGAACTGAGGAAATAGCACAGTAATTCTTTCAGGTTCCCCTTCTCAAGCTTGGCTTGTACATCTGCAAAGAAAAACATCCAAAGCTGCTGATGTTACCTCATAAATAGAAGATGAGCGAAAAGCCAGGCTGAGTTAGACGCTTTTGGGATCCTGGTCAAGATTGACTGGCTGCTGACTATAGGCTTTGACACCTGAGACATTGCTGCAATTCTAGTGTGGTGCTGATAGGAATAAATCTACCCAAATGGTCATCTAGTTATTAAGATGAAGTGTATTTTGCTCTAAAGACCCTGACCAGCACAAGAATTAAGTTGCTAATCTGAGTTGGTATCTGATGTTAGGATTTGTGTAGTAGTGTTAACTGACAACTTAAATATAAAAGTAGACTAACCACACTAACATGACAATTTACATTCAGACCCATCAGTCTATAGCAAAAAGCTTTATTTTTTAATCTTCAGGTTCAAAATGAGTGCAATGTTGGAAACCCCTGAACTGCCGGCAGTGTTTGATGGGGTGAAGCTGGCTGCAGTTGCTGCTGTTCTCTATGTTATTGTTCGCTGCCTGAACTTAAAGAGCCCAACTGCCCCTCCTGATCTCATTTACCAGGACTCTGCTTTGTCCCGCTTTCTGCTCAAATCCTGCCCACTTTTGACCAAAGAGTAAGTAGTGTCTCTTTTGCATGTTGCCTTGTGCTGTGGGGAGAAGAGCTGCACTTAACTATCCTTCTGCCTAGTGTATTTCTTAAACCTGGGTGCAAGTGAATGGCAAGTGAGGAAATAAAGATGTTCTAGATCTGGAAACCAACGTATTAACAGTCAACTCTCTATTATTGCTAGTGCCCCAGGTACCTGGATTAGTTGAGACCGAGCCTTGTGCAGGACTGTCTATGGGTGCATGGAAAACTGCATCGGCCCCTAGGAGCTTACTCTGAGTTATTAGGATCTGTATGCTGGTATTGCAGTGGACTGCACTATACAGCCCTGTCTGTGGAAGTGGGGGAGGGAGAAATGCAATCAGCACTTGTTCCTGATCACATTCTCTCCCTTCTAGTAGGGAAGAAATCTGTTGGGGCTCCCAGTAAGGAAAGATTTCATTCACTGCTAATGAACACAGGTAGCTATTAGTTCTAAAGTGCCTATATTTTTCTGAAGTGCTTTAAGCTGTTAGACTTGTTGTGATAATGTGCCCTATCCAATAACAGATTTCACAACTAGTTTATTAAAGTAATGACATCCTGGCCAGTTGTAAGAAAAGCCTGCTGATTTTGCTGTCAAATCAGCCGTAAGGTCAGCTGTGTATTTGAGCAGACTGGTCCTTGACCTCCCATTGTAGGGACTCTAGAATCAATGTAGCTGCCCTTCGCTTTCCCTAATAATATAAAGCATTTACTACAGTTTCTTGAGGCTTTGGAGGGGGAAGGATTTTGATTACAGTATTTTTCTACTGCAATCACCTTAAGCTTGTAAGTTCTATTTAAAAGCCCTAAATATGTCAATTATCTCGTAAGCTCTGGAGTGCTATCAGGTGAACCTTCCTCTTGGATCTCACAAGTTGAACTGACTTAATGATAGCCATTCCAGTGGAGATTAGAGGCTTTTAGCAGTGTTATATGAAGTGCTTTGATTACATCAGTGTAAGATCTTAGGCAATCAGGTTCCTAAACTGTTAGAGGGAACAAAGCATTATTCCTTTTAAAGCAGATCCCAAAGAGGGTTGCCTGATGCACTGAGTCTGGTGGTAACATAAGTCTGTGGTGAAGCTGAGCATTGAAACTGGATCTTAATTATGTCTAGTGCCTTAACTGCAAAGCAGTTGCCTCCCTAGAAAAGACCGGTGGTTCTGGTTACTTGGTATCTTAGCTGCTTGTCACCTCAGTGTTGGCATTCCAGGTTCATATGTCCCTAGTCAGTGAAAGAACAAGCATGAAGCTTTACTAATTACCAATCCTGAAGGCATATTGATCTCAGATTACTCTGGAAGCTTAGATGTACTTACAGTAAGCCTATTCAGTCTGTACACTCCTATTTTGTCTCTGCTCTTGTAGCTCAGGCTCCTAACTTTACTGTATTAGAGCTATGTTTTGGACTTTAACATAGTTGGAGGGGAAGAGAAACTAAAGGAGTGAAAGAGAAGAGCATGTCTGAAAGAACTGCAATGCATCTTTTGTGCATTAATTGCAGAAGAGAAGAGCTGCTTGCAGAACCTTAGCGTTGTGGTGTTAGTGTGCAATCTTGGGCTGTCTGCTTTGTCTTGGTCAAGTCAGAGCTCAGACTTGCCACACTTCTCTGAAAACTGTAGCAGTGATTTCCAACCCATGGTCCATGGGCAGAACACTTCCTGAAAGGCTTCTATAGCTACAGGAAAAACTCAACTGAACAAAACAGAATAAAATGTGTCAATAGTTAATTGTTCAATCTTATATTCTCTTCTCCAGGTAATGATTGCTCTGGGATCTTGAAAGTGTTTGCAGGAGAGATAACTTAGTTCTAATATGATATGTGATATTATTTTTGTTATCCTTGTTTTTAAATATAGAGATTAAAGAAATCAAAGAAATTCTGTCTTTAGTCTCAAGGTGACTCTCAAGGGAACAAATGTATCTAAATTCCTGCAATTATGTATGAAATAATTTGTAGGACTAATTAGCTGGAGACAGCTTGTGCCATACTCCACTGAAAAATCTTGTAAGGCTTTGATTACTTCCTAATTGTTCTGAGTATTAGGAAAGCTGATTAAGCAGCTCTTTTCAAACTTGGGCATGAATACAGAATAAGTAGCCTGGCAATCTCTTCTGTCGTATCAGTACCAGGTTTGTGAGATCTTCCACTGATTCTGCTGTACAGCTGTGAACTGGTTTTCAGACCTGTTCTGTTCAGTTTCCTTACCTTTAAGGAAGGAGATCAAATTTCTCCCCTTCTTCCCTTGAGGATAAGGATATTGCTGAAAAGCTAGAGTGGCAAGAAGAGAGCAGAAGTGACTTTAGCTGCACAGGTAAAAGAATAACTTTTCAGAACTACCTAAAATGATGTGTAGGGCCTGGTTCATAACAGCCTTTAAACTGTAGCTTTAGTTAAATGCATCAAAAGGGAGTAAAGAATTATTTTCTGAAGTGGTTTTCAGGTTGGAGTATGAAAATTACTGTATGTCTCCTGACTTGGCTGTGTCTAGCTCAGTTGAGCTAGCCCTGCCGCTTTGTCCCTATATTCCCCAAAGTAAACCATGTCTGTGACTTTTTCCCCCCACGCACCTCCATTGCACCTTCCTTACCTATGGATTTATTGAATAAATTATGAACTTAGCTTCATTCATTGAAACAAGTGGTGGATGAATAATTCAAGAGCTTTAGATAGTAAAACTGCATGAGATGACTGCATACCAAATACCTTGTACTTGTTAAAAGCAATGCTAACGTTTACAGTTCTCTAAAGTTTCTAACGGTTATCTATCGGACCCTGAGAGGCAAGAGAATCTGCCCACCTGGTTTTAATATTTTCTTCTTTCCTTCCTCTACTACCGTCCAGCTTGGTTCTTTGGCTTACCAAGTGAGTTAGTGTAGTTCGATCCTTTTTTCATTTAAAGAGCTACCTCTTGCTTGGAAGCTCTTAAAAGTCCACACAACTGCTGGTATTTGTGAACACTCTTGCCAAACCATTAGCTGCAGCTGTCTCCTTTTCTTGTCTTCTAAACTGGTACAGAAAGTCTGCTATCTGTTCTCCTGTTCCTATGGAAATACAGCCCTAGCTTCTTTGACCCCAAAATAAACTTGATCAGTATTTACTGTGCTGGGCTACTGTTCTTTGGCTGTTCCCAGTTTCTTCTACTGTCAAGTGTGTATCCTTATTTTTCATAAGCCTGATGCTTATTCCATGACTCTGTAGGAAATAAGCATGCAGGAGGCAAGGATAGTTATATCCTTAACAAATGCAAGCTTCTCAAAGACTGAAGCAAGTGCCTGTCAAGCCTCTTAGCAAATGTTGTCAAAGATCCAGCCTAGATCTTTCTCATCCTTTGTTTACACAGTAACTTATACTGGATAAGCAGGCTGCCTCATGCCAGAGTACTCTCCTGTGCTGTCATTATTCTTTCCTAGATGTGAGGAGAGAAGCAGTCAGAAAAGCTGAGTTCAACCCTTTTAATATTCTTTTTCTCCAACTAATGACAATGTTTGATTCCTACCAACTCCTTTCTGTTTTATACTGGGTAGAATAAAGTAGAATAAAACTGAAAGAACAGTATTTTTGAAGCTTTGGCCTGTGAACCTCTGGAGAGGTAGAAAATGGCAGCTTGCTCTAAGTTAGACCCTTAACCTTAGGGAGGGAAGCAGCCTTATGAGATCCAGGTCTCTTTGCGTGTTCAGCTGTGTCACTGGCAGCAGTCTTGCGATCTGCAGCTCTCACTGGCGAGGATAATATGCTGTAGTAATCATCCACTGTTTTGACTAGAACACTTCTCTTTGTAATCCCGGAAGGTTAGAGGTGTGTGATGGGCGCTCTACCAAATAAAAGCTACCTAAACTGGGAAGGAGGTGGTTTAAATAAGGAGGTCAATCTGCACTTTTAAATAGCTCTGACTTCATGCAAAGTGCATTAATGCACTTATGTTTCATGTTTAGGGGTTATGGGAAAATAAGCTCCCAAAGTTGCTTTAAAGTTGCTTTAAATTTTGACTGTTTTGTATTTGCTGTGTCTTGCATTGCATTAGACAGTACAACTGAGCTGATACGTAAAAAGCTGTGCTCTACATACTTGAGGGAAGAATTGAATTCTGGGCTTTAGATGAGCTTTCTTGACTAGCATTTAAATTGAATCTCTTAGTATCAAATAAGAGACAAGTTCTTTTTTAGCTTTCTCTAAATACATAAAGATACATTTAGCTTCTTTTTTAGCTACCTTTACACTTGTCTGAGAAAGACACCTGTTGTAGTGCAGGCAGTAGTTCTCAGGGTGTCTTCTGACTTTGGTAACTTCTAGGCCGTTTTTTAATCCAGTAAACGATAGCACATCCAAGATGATGTGAGAGTTAGTTTAAAGTGTTAATCTCAGATGAAATGAAATAATGCTCCAGAAATAAGCCTGTTGCTGAACTTCCACTTCAGATGTTTGAGGATCTGAATGCTGATGCTTGCTAATAAAAATAGCACAGTTCTCATGTGCTTTGTTTGAGCTGCTTATGCAGCTGTTGCTTTCCTAAATTCCTGTATACTGGCTGATGTATGTGCTCTGAAATCATAATCTGTTTGGTCACTAAAACATAATCTACAAGCATGTGTTGGGATTGTTTCCTAATATAGATTTAGGACAACATTTGAACACCTAGGTGATGGTTCAGAACAGTCCATGAGGACAAGAGAACTCCTATCAAGATGTAGGGCTGGGTTGTATAGCTAAAATGGAGCATTTGGGGCTTAAAAACTTAGCATTTGTGAGCATGTTGCTATAACTGGGTGTGAATTCACTCAGCCAGTTAAGACCAGTTATCTGAACTCTGTACCTGTACCATATCATAAGTTAACTGCATTATTAAGTAACTGGGAACATAGTTCTGCTGCTCTGCCTGGCTTCTCATGCATCTCTGAGCTGCCTGGCTGGAATAGCGCACACTAGGCAGTATATAGTGGTAGTGAACCACGTCCACTGAGTGAAACTTGTTACCCTGGGATA